ATGGAAACAGATTGGGACCATCGACGCCAATGCTGTTTCTCAAATTTAAACTTGTCACGCTGTTGCGGACGGGATTTTACATACCCGTACATGTGTAGCTTCTTAAGATACAATTTTAATTTACCGACGATAACCCCCTCGCTCCGTACGTATTTAAGGTTTCTCGTATCGCAGCCGGAGCTCCGAGTACTCGCAGTCCGTAGACGAACGCTGCAATATTCGTTTCTCGTTCACACCGCGAAGAACCGTGCCGTCGACGATGACCCGCGATAACGTGACGCTACTCTCGTTTATTTCCTGTCTCCTCTTCTTTGGATTGTACAACGTCGAAGGAGAGCTCATCCAGTGGCGGCCGTGTCCTTATCCCAACGGTAAGCATCGATTTTTCTCCTTTCAATCAATTTTCCGAGGTTGTTCGACACCCGTAAGGTCAAGTTAATTAAGCGACGTAAAATCTGTGTCTAACTTGAAGTTGTATCAATTGTAATCTTAATGATTTTATTCAATCCATGTGTAAGTTGTAGGAAATCTCCGTTTATTACTTCATACTTACGTTATTCTAATATTGGACTTATTGGACTGTAAATTGTTAAGCTACTAGTCAGTTTTAAAACAGTGTAGTTCGCAAAACTTGCAGACCTATATTTCTTAACCTATCCTAACCTAACCTATACTTTTTCCTGAGAAAATTCTCAGACATGTCCAATTACTCTACGAACATGTCAGAATTTTCTCAGATTTTTCGTAAGGCGGTAAATAAGGAAAAACCTCAAAAAACTGATTTTACGAATTTTCCCGATTACTAACCCACTGGTTGAAATATAGGGCTAAAAAGTGGAGTGAATGTTTATTTTTTGTTAAGCTATCGATTGGCGCAAACGGCGCTTCATTCGGCTCAAGGGCACTTTTGATCCCCTTATCCAGCTAGGCCCTTTAATTAGTGATAATATGAAATAATTCAAAGTCCATTTATTTCTTTTATCAAAGCTGCTACTGCATCGAATTGTACGATACATGAAGTGTACGTAGACCCGTGTGAAGACGCTGCAAGTGGCAAACCATGTAACTTCAAAAGGGGAATCTCCGCGAACATGACATTCCATTACACGCCTTGTAAGCATTTTCATATAGTTACAAGCAGTTCAAGTCCTGTCAGTTTACGAATTAATGATAATAAATTATATTTTCTTTAGCATTCTCGTCAGAGAGCATACAGGGTGGAATATATTGGACTATCGATTCGATAGACATCCCAATTCTGAGCGTGCGTTCCAACCCTTGCTCATTGACCACCTGCCCCCTCGAGGCTGGCCAGAAGAACATATACCACTTGGAAACGACTGTGAGAAGATATCCACTCGTAAGTATTGTATTAGAGAAAAAATTGCTTACAATCCAACTCAGTTTTGAAATAATTCCAAGTAGAGAATATGTGCAAAATTCTAAATGTTTAATTTTCCTTTCAGCGAGAGTATGATTTAAAATGGAGAATCTGGAACGATCAGCAGGAAGAGTGTTGTTTCATATATCAAATTACAATAACTAGATAAGAAACATTGTAACAGTAATAACTCGCGGACGATAATAAAAAGATTACATTTCGATTATTTTACTCAATTCGATAAAATTTAATGGTAGAACCTTTCCTCGTCTCTTTCCATGTTACTTTTTTACATATATATAAAATAGTACTTTGTTTAGATGTATTTCGAGTAAAAAGAAATCTTCCAGCGTTATAAGCCTTGATACTCTCTTTAACTGATTTATTATAGTCGTTCCTTCAATCAGTAACAATTGTCCAACGCTCGTTTGAATCAATTTATCGATTCCTTCTATTACATACCAATGAAATACACATCTGATGAGGCAGAGATCGAATAATAAAATATTGCACGAAATATTTTGTAAAATAGTCGAAGTGATAGATTTGAATAATAGAATAGAACCCTCCTTCAAAACCCTCTATTAATGTTCATTATTGCTTGACACAGTAAAAAGAAAAAAGAGATCGCTGCGGATAGGATTCGAACCT